CTTTAATTATTTGTTTAATATTTTACCTCTTTCCTTCTTCTCTTCTCGTCTTGCTTTTAAAAGAGACATTGCATGAAACTTTTTATCTTGTTTTTCCTCTATAGTTTTCTTACGATCTTTACTCCGTTCTTTAGGATCTGGTGCTCTATCAACTTTCTTTTCTTCTGTACCTTTTTCTTTCTTTCTTGATTCTTTTTGTTTTTTTAATTCTTGTTTTTTAGCCATTCTCAATTTTTTTTCAATCTCAAATCTTGTTTTCATAATTTCACGTTGTTCAATACGTTTAAAAATTTCTTGTTCACGTTCTTTTTCTGTCATTTGAGCAAGTCTTGCTTGATCCTCAGCATCTCCCATTAATTTATCATCATAGCCATCATTAAATTCTTCCTGGCTAGAATCAGAAACGCTAGCATCCGAGTCTGAAACTTCGCCTAAAAACAAAAAATTATTCTATAATGTCATAGAATTATAAAATATATCTTAATTATTTTAACATATAAAAAATTTATCTTAATGTTTGTTTTAAATAATTACCTTCTTCTGGTTCTGAAATCTTTTCAGGTTCTTTTTCACTAGCACTTTCTTCGCTACTAGACTTTGTCATCTTTCGTTTATTTCTTTTAGTTGGTACTTTCTTTTTCTTATTTTTGCCAGCTTTTGTACCCCAATCATCATCTGAATCTGATGTATCTGAATCATGTTTATTATCTTTTTTAATATTATTGGTGTCTTCATTAGATTGAGAATCATCTTGAGCTTTTCCTTTTTTCTTTTTGGCAAGTGAGAGTAAATCCTAAATCAAACATACATAAAATTCAATTGTTTTATAAAATGGATAAATTTATTAAATATATAAATAAAAAGTATATATAAACTGATATATACAAAAATATTCTTTTTCTTTTAATTATAAATAATGAATTATTACAAATTAAAAGTTAAATATTTGAATATCTAAATCTAAACATATATCAGTAGGTTATGTAAAATAAATTTTATATATATATTTTTTATAACATATTTTAAAGATTCAAAAAATAATATGAAACAAGTAATATTATTATTAAAATTGGTTTGTTTAATTTTCATTGTATAAGAAGTGGAATAAAAGCATAAAATAAAAGATATGCAATATAAGATTTTTATGTAAGGTTATATCATTTACATTATCCAAATCTGAGCCACTTTCTGATGCACTGCCACTACTATCAGAATCTATAAGAGCGTGATTCTTTCTCTTTGGCATTATTACTAAAATAAGCAAACGGAGATCGTGAAAATTGCACGCCCTCCTAACAAGGGTAAATTTAACGTCATGCAAGATATAATAAACTAGGAAGACCGCGTAGAACCAAAAACGTTAAACATCAATGTCGATACAGTAGCGTATATCATGCCATTCGTTCCACAGCAATCTAGTTTTATAATCAAAACTATAATATTATATTATATATTATATAATTACTATTTATTCATATAAAAATTAAGTTGTTATTATTGTTATTATTTGTTTCGTATAATTAATAATTATTCGATTTCATAGGATGATTTTAATAATATAATACTTTTATTTTAGTAACATTTTCTTTTACGTATTGGTAATTACGAATGTTGACACTTTTTGCCGTCAATGGCGTTTGATAGACGCAACTGTGTCGATGTGTCAGAGAAATTTTATACTATATTGCATTTTATATGACGTTACGGTCAAATAGTGAGATGTAATTATAGAAGTGGCATTTACAAATTAATTGTAATAGATAGTAGTGTCATAGAGAACGTGAACATTCTAATTACGGATGTTTAAAATTGGAATGTTCAATGGCTGTGAATATGGAAGTAGAAAAGAATATATCCAAAGAGATTGACACTCAACTTTTGGCAAACAACTCGATGGAATTTAATAATGATATTCAGATAGACAACGAAAATATTAAAGATATCGAGAATTCATTGTCTTCTCTTAAAAATATAACGATTGATAGCGAGAAATGTGACGATACTATTATATACGCACAAGTTGAAAATTCTCAAATTTATGCAAAAAATTTAGAAGATAATTTAGTGTCTACTAATGAAAAAGAGGAAAAAAGTGATGAAGATAAAGAAAAAGAATTATCACAAGACGAGAAAGTTTTAAAAAATGATTGTAAGACTGAAAAAATAGAAGTAACATCAGAAAATTCTACTGATGGTTATGTATCTCAAGCTCCATTAGCTTTCACAATTGACTTTGGTAATAAGGAAATTGATACAACAAAATATCAAAATTTATTTGAAAGATATAATGCTAGACATAAAAGAAATTTATCTACATCTAAGGTAGATGTATTGTAAAATATATTTTATAAAAATATATAACATTAAAATATATATTAAATAATTTTTTATATAAATATGATAAAAATATAATAAATAAATGTAATAAATGAAATATATAATATAATATATAACTAAGATATAATATAAATATATAACTAAGATTAGAATTATATTTTTTTAGGTAGAAATAAATACAAAAAAACCTGGTACTTTAGTTTCTTCAAATTTAATGCAAAAACAAAAAGTTTCTAGTATACATTCTGAAGGTTATTTTAGTAGTGAAGATGATACAAGACGAAAAACAGATCAATTATCAGAAAAATTAA